TTTTTTTTTTTTTTTTTTTTTTTTAGCTCTTATTAGCAATTTCAACTTTTAAAGGGTTATTAATGACCCACTCAAACCCTGGAGTCCATGAAGAGTCTGACATGTTACACATTAGCCAAGAGAGGTTTCAAGACAGAATGGAAGAGAAGTGAGGAAGAGTTATGACTGGAAGCAACAGTAGGTGAAGAGGCACCTCCTCCTGGGCAGAGTAAAGCTCCTCTCTGGTGCTGCAGATGGTGCTCTCCCTCTGCTCCCTCAGTGCCTCCATGTCAGCCTGAAGCTTCCCAAGCTGAGCTAAAAACACACAAACACATAGGAAGTGAGATGTGGCAGCTAAATACTTATTGATACAAATCTATAGTACATCTTTTTCTCTGTATTCACTCACTCTGCAAGAACTGGATCTGTTTGGTCGACTCCTCAGTCAGCTGAGAGTTACTCCTCCTCTCCTCCTCCAACAGAGCTGCACACCAAGAGTCACACAGTCACTATGTTTATACCACTGTTCTTTTATATTTTCATGCAACGTATAATTGGAGCGATGCAGGGCAAGAACTGTAATCTCACAAACTCAACAATACTGTAGTAAAAATGTATGAGGTAAACTTTAATTCAAACAAAGTTTGCGAGCTATTAATTATAATTAAAATTCTAATTATAAAATATAATCCACAGCATTGTGAGAACACTGTTACCTTGTAGCTCTAGACATTTCTGCTTGCCGGTGTTGGCTAATTCTTGGGCCTCCAGAAGCTCTCTGTGGAGATGGTGGATGACCTGCTCCGTGTCTCCAGGCTCTAGACCGGCCCGATGTAGCTCATCTAACCACATACACATAGAAAATGTTAAGTACATTATTTTTTATTATTATTATTATTATTATTATTATTCAATGACAAAGTCAGGGTCTACAAATTATCTGTATTTTTATTCAAAAAACAAAAAACAGGAATTTTCCAGACTTAACTTCTTCATTGTTCAATAAATACATATATGAATAAATGACTGAGCACACGGTGGCAGTGTGGATATCGACTTACTGAACATAACTGACTGGACTATTTTATTCAGTCAGTCAGGAGTGTAGTGGGTGGGGGCGGTGGGGGGTGTCCAGCTGACTAGATAGTAGCTAGTAGATCTTTTATTGAAAAGATGGATGAAGTTGCCATGACGTCCTGGTTCAGTTATTCAGATTTACATGTGTATATTAGACATAAGTAAATGCAATCCCAGCTTTAAAAAATGCACTTATTTAAAATATCGCCTGAGACCACAAACTGCAGGAAATAGTTTACTGAGGTCACAGGTCATGGCAATGAGGCCTTTTCCCCCACTCATATTTAATACACCTAGACTTCTTATTGCACCCAAAGGCACCCCCTGCTGGCCCTTAGCAGGGGTGAGAGTTTAAGGCACTTCAGGCTTCGCTTCATCTGCCTTTCATACAGTCTGTAGACACAAACTCTAAAATGGAAAAAACACCAGGCCCTTCAGGGACTAGCACAGCTGAACATCTCCCTAATGGTCAGTTAAATACAATAATCAAACTGGGCGGCCCAGTGTTTTGGGGTTTATGATCACAGGTGCACGGCCACAGTTACCTTTGAGCAGAGCTACTCTGTTCTGAGGTTCATTCAGCTCTTGGTCGTTCATGTTTCCATCTGAAACACACAAAAACGCATAAAACTCCTGTGGCTGCTTCAGGATCTATACTCCAGCAGTTTCAAGACGAATCAGATACTGACATAATAAACTGCTAGAGAGAACAAGCAATTTTAAAAGATACATAACACAAATCCGTTTCAGGCAACTCATTTATAACCCTTAGGAAAAAATCTAAACATTTTCAGTAATTTGTAAAGCTACTATATGATTAATTAATGATTGAAGATCAGACAGTGTGAGACAGAACAGCTAAACTTTAAACAGATGTCAACGCTATTCGAAATTAGGTGGAAAAGAAAAACCTTTCCAGTAAAACTGAGAAAACACAAGACAAATTTTGGAATTGCCAAAATTAGACTTAAACCGATGAGCAGGAATGTATGGGTGTTTTCACTGACCTGACGTGTCGTCACTGCTGCGGTCTTTGCTGGGACTCAGAGTGTCGGACATGTCTGACTCTTTGGCATCCATCTGATTCCCTGTGGACGCACACACGAAAACAAACACGCACATCAGCCAGGACTAACTAAAAAAACTACAGTGTAATCACTTGACAGTCAACATTTACTCATGCCATCAAATTCAAAACCAATAAATTACTTTAATCAGCTGGAACACATGCACAGTGTTCAGGTAGATTTATACTTCTACTTAAATCAAACGTAATTTTGGGATCATTAAAATTGAACATTTAAAAAAAATAAAACAATATCATAAAACCTAATTTCTAACTCTGGTGTGTTCTCTACCTTTAAGTCGATCAGGGCTGGTCAGGATGTCATCTCCTGCCGTCTGGTTGTTCTGTAAGTGGGCATCCATCACTTCTACAGAAACATCAGGGTGAAAATTTCAGTTCAGGTTTTAAAAGACAGCAATCCATTTAGCTTGCTTTTGTTCATGAATGAATCTATATCAGGACTCAAAAAACAAAAGAAGTCCAAAAGAAACTGAGTTATTAACTTACCATCAAAGTTGGCCAGTTTTTCGATTGAAGAACTGACGGTCTCCTTTAGCTGTTTGACGGCTGCAGAGAGAAAAAACAGAAGACCAGGAGGAATCAGTTTAAATAAGTCAGAAAATAAAATCTGACTTCCACCATTATCAGCTGGATTAGCAGTTGGTTAGTAAAAGTGTTAGTATACAAATTCAGAAAAAGTAATGTTTTATTTCAAACTTCTCAAACTGAACAGCTGAATCAGAGATGAATCGTTTTAACACAATTATCAGACGACTGGAAAAAACGTGTAAAACACTGAACCAGCTGACAGCTTGAAGTAATTAATCACTACTGCAGTGACATCTCACTTATGTATCCTTACATTCAGTATGATAAATCCAATGACATTTTTGTACAGCAAAAACTAACTGAATTCAAATGTGGAAATAAAGTTAATAAAAAATAAATACTCCCTATAAATACAATCGAGACCCTTGAAAAAGCCAAACTACGCTTACCAGCTGTTATTAGCTGTTCACACAATAAATGTGAAATTAAACTACAAAATTAACACAGCTCACTTCAATCAATTCCAAATGACCTCAAAACTAAAGCTTCATCTAAAGTCCTAATCTCCATCTGTGCATTATAAACCACACCAGAATGTGGCTGACAGCTGACAGTAAATGTAATCAACCGACACGGTACAGCAGCAATAAAAATTCCACAGTGGATGATGTTTTCCTCAAATGTTTTCACACACTTGCTACTCAATCTGTTTCTGGTATGAGTGAAGACATGGTCAATGTGTAAAAAGGTAAAATTTCCAAAGTTATGTGAAATGAAGAAACTAAAAGAGAAGGAAGACGAGGAAAAACCATAGAAGGGAGCAAAAAAAAAATCTGTGTTTCACTTTAGTGAAAAGTTATAAAAGCAGCATGCAGGAAAAAACACTGCTCCAGAAGAAGAAGCATAACAGATGCCATAAGGAAATCAACGCAAACAATATATATGTGTGAGGGGGTTTTCGGGCTCCAAATGTAATCTAATTATTCTCACACAACCATGAAAAATAAAATTGAAATTAAGGCTTAGGTGGGTCCTGGTTCCTCATGATGAACCTCTAGTTTTACAATTTTTCAGCTAAAGCCTGCTCAAATGATCTGACAAATGGTATTAACACTTTAACTTAATCTTCCCGATAACACATATTTGCTCTCTTCATTCACAACAGTCAAAAACAACAGCTGTGCTGTGATTTTAGGAATAATCACAAAGAGAGCTCATTCATGTCTGTGCCAGCTGCAGTGAGGTAAATTTCATGTGCTGCTGCTGACAGAAAAACAAGATGTCACTCTTGCAGAGTAGTAGAGACTTTTTTATTTTTTTTATTTTTTTTTTAAATCAGAAAAAAAACATCCATCCATCGTCTTCCGCTTTATCCGGGGCCGGGTCGTGGGGGCAGCAGCCTAAGCAGAGAAGCCCAGACCTCCCTCTTCCCAGCCATCTCCTCTAGCTTATCCGGGGGAACACCAAGGTGTTCCCAGGCCAGCCGAGAGATATAATCTCTCCAG